ATGTAGTGGGTCTCAATGCGGCAATCTTAAAGCAGTCAGTCTGGTCTCCATCACCTATAAGTAACCAGAATCTGTCGCTCTCCATAGACCGGGTAGCAAACGATAAAATCAGCAACCTGAAGAGCACGTTAGGCTGATTAGTTGAACTGACGACATCAACTGTCGGATCCAGTGTAGTCGTATTCCTCCACTTCAAAAATACCTTTGACTACGTTGATTGATATTTTTGAAACCGTTTGATAAAAAAGCGTCTGTCAGAGATTTACCTAAACAATATTAGAGAACTGCACAAAGGCAGTTCGGTACGTCAACGCGTTGCAATACATCTGGCAATGTGTTGTTGTATACAGTGAAATACCATTCGTAATCCACTGTACGCAGAGTTCGAACACAATGAGGGCTGATGGTAAGCTGTTGCCGCCCTTCTATGGATATGGCTGAGGGAGACAGGGATTCCCATTTACATCTTGGTTCAATAACTTCCCTACAGATGAAGCTATGAAAATACGTTAGAGCCGAACACAAACCTGATCCCTGTCGAGTGCCTCATTGATTTGTAATATGCAGACTGAGATTATGCATTGTCAACAACAGGTTACTAACACGCCAAGAGGCACAGGACAAATAAACACTGGCTGTCAGTCGCCTAGTGCATATCAATTCACCCCCTGCCAAATGCAAACCACTTCTCCAACATTGGCAGTGATCCATCCCCCGCGCCGACACCTGGTGTGGATAAGCCAGAAATCGTTCAGAGATTCAACAACACGGGCAGCTGTTTCAGGGCAGGTGGAAAGGGAGATGAGATCAGAAAACGTGTAGCCAAAGCTGGAGCCGATTCTCCAAACTTCGCCACATGTGGCGTAGCTATGATGTTACTCTCGCCCTGAAGGTTAGAGTGTACAGTTTAACCCTACTGTACAGTTGTGAAACCTGGCCCATAATATCGACAAACGTGAAGAATCTAGTTGCATTCGATCCACGGTGCTTTCGCAGCTTAGCTTACATCTGGCGGAAACAGCGTGTGAGTTATGAGCCTCTTCGGCGTCATGTTTACGGTGCAGTCAGAGCCTGATAAACATAATAAAACATGGATTAAGCTACGCCAGCGTGTTTGCTATCCGATGTTGCAATGTTGCAATCTACCTGTGCAAGTTGACATAATGTGCCATCAAGATATGCGAAGCACGAGAAGCTCAGCAGCGTTAGAGATTACGACTCAACAACCCCCACTGCCATAGGAGCCTGACAGAAACCACAGATAACTGCATCATACAAAGCCTCGTCTCGTCATCACCACAGTACAGACAGCTGACTACCAAAAATCGGTCGCTTGTGGCTCCGAAACTAAACTGGCCACCGCAAAAGGATGACCATCATTGTCCCTATCCCTCAACACAACCGCAACAAACCCATGGAATAAACACCGATTAAAAAGTATTGTTAATTACAGACAATATTGCATCAAAATTCGAAGACGCCCGGTGCGTTATTGGAAAAAATGACACAGCAAGGTGTAGAACTTACTCAAGTGAAGAGCATCTACGTGTCTAAGGAGGTGGTACCTTACGGAAAACGATTTTCCACAGTATTCACACGTGTGATTTCGCTGATCTGGAACAAAAAGCAGGACGTTTACAGTCATGTACAGCATTGAGGAATGATTTAATGACGTTTGGAATTTAACTGCTTCATCATCATCATACACGTAAGCTAGAGGTGGGGAACACTTCATCTACCGTGCCGCAATACACAGAAAAAAGCAACTGGTGAAAGCTGGCTAAGCTACAGGTAACGGAGGGGCATCGTTCCGGTAAGCTACAAGCCGGCTACTGTGCATCAAAAAATTACAATGCAAAATTATATAAGTCTAAGTAATGACATCGTGGTTAAAGGGGGAGGCTAAGATGGATGGGGTGGGACAAAGAAACTCACAGCACGAACGCCACTGAGGTCGGCTCCTAGCCATATCAGCAAGTGTATCCAGCCAAACGTGTTCATCGTCTTTCGGACCCCAACCAGGGAGCCGAGACGCTCCAACCGAGGCCAGCTCAGAAGTGAGGGCCTTCATTCCTCTCGACCAAGTCATCGCTTGGCCACCCCTCCTCTTCTTCCATCCACACCCCGGCGCGCAAACAACGCACGTCGCGGGAGTCGGTGGGCTGGCATGCGTAACACGTGGCCGAGCCATCGGAGCCTGGTGCGTGAAATAACGGTGCTGAGCGGTTCAGTTCCTTTTCCTGTGCCGTAAACAAGGCGTCGAACACGCTCGTTGCTCACGCGGTGTTCCCACCAGATGTGAGCCAAACTGCGAAGGCACCGGTGGTCGAACGTAACTAGCCTCTTCAGGTCCGCTGCTTTAAGGGGCCAGGTTTCACAACCGTACAGTAGGGTCGAACGTACCGCTGCATTGTACACTCTACCCTTCAGGGCGAGAGTGATGTCGCGCCGGCGCCATAAGTGGCGAAGGTTAGCAAAAGCGCTCGAGCTTTTGCTATACGGTTCGTGATCTCATCTTCAATCCCACGGGCGCTGATACAACTTCCCAGGTAGTTGAATTTTTGAACGACTTCTAGCTGATCCCCACCAACGGTCAGCGAAGGAGGCGGTCCCTGCCAATCTTGGAGGAACGCTTTGCACTTCGAGGGTGCGAAGCAAAGCCCGAAGTGACGGACAGCTAGTGCTAATCTGTCCAGTGCCGCTTGGCACGTTTGTGAGCTGTCACAGATGAGGGCAATATCATCAGCATACTCTAAGTCAAGAAGTCGTTCTCCTGGGAGCAGATCCACACCTTCTAAGTCGTGTCCTGTGAACGCGATTTCCATGACTTCGTCAACAGCGAAGTTGAAGAGGAAAGGTGACAGCGGGCATCCTTGTCTCACACCGCTGGAGATATTAAAGGGCGACGACAGCTTGCCGTAAGCCCTCACTCTGCCCGAGCTACGCGCATATAATGCTCGGATAATATTTACATATTTCTCGGGCACACCTTTCCTGAGTAGACAATTCCAAAGGGCACATCGATCAACCGAATCGAATGCACCTTTGATATCGAGGAACACGACTACGGTGGGCCGCCAATATGTGTGACGGTGCTCCAACAACTGACGCATATATATATGTATATATATATATATATATAATATATATATATATATATATATATATATATATATATAATACACAATCTGTGGTACAGATATTGTGCCATCGGAATCATGGCTGAATAGGAAAACAATATGAATAATAAGAAAAGAGCAACAAGAAATGTTTTTTTGTCAAGTTTACCACTCACAGTTTTTGAAATCTTTTTCAGTTTGTTCTTTTTTAGGGGGAGGAAGAAGGGACACCGCAACACACTGATGCACACGTCCGCCATTGGCATCGATCTTGAGCCATAACTTCCAAGGTTTTCAACCAGCAAGTATCCTCATCTCTCGGACCCCAACCAGGTAGTCGACAACAACCGGCCGAGGCCAATTGTTTCGTCAACTTTTTCATGCGGCTTCTCCATGTTGTAGGCTGTCCACCAGACCGTCTCTTCCAGCCCTGTCCAGCAAGTGCAAACAACGCACGACGGGGGTAACGCTGGACAGGCATGCGCAATACGTGTCCCAACCACCGCAGTTGATGCAGTGAGATGAGCTCCTCGAGCGAGTGGCTTCCACGTCCCAAGACACGCTGTCTAACTTCCACATTGCTTACGTGGTGCTGCCACCACACACGGGCAATGGACCGCAGACAGCGGTACTCGAAGACGGATAGCCTGCGCAAGTCATATTTACGAATGGGCCAGGTCTCGCATCCGTACAACAGTACAGCACCAACAGCTGCACAATAGACCCGCTCTTTCTTGGAGAGACGATGTCGTGGCGACATCACAAATACCTCAGCCTAGAAAAAGTGAGGCGTTCTCTCGAGATGCGCATCGAAATCTCGTCTCCAACAGCCCCGCCAGCAGTAATGCGACTTCCCAAGTAGACAAAGCTCTCCACAACCTCCAGTGTCTCACCAGCAAGCGTGAGTGCAGGCAGAGGCACATGCCAGTCTTGAAGGAGAGCCTTGCATTTGGATGGCGAAAAGTACATACCGTACTTTGACGCTTCAACCGTCAAGCGGTTTAATGCAAGTGAAGCTGTGGTCGATGCAGCCACGACCTCGACGAAACCCGGCTTGCTCTTCACGAATCTGGCTTTCACGAGTGCCAGTCAGTTAGTGAAGGATGACAGAGGCAAGCAATTTGGAGGCGATGGAGATCAGACTGATTCCTCTATGGCTGCCGCATTCCGATCGTGAGACTCTCTTGAAAATTGGGACTGACGCAGCGGCTCCAGTCAGTTGGGACAGTTTCCTGCTCCCACAGTTGCACTAGTAACTCAGGTAAATTATCCACAAGAGCAGGTCCCCCGAATTTGTAGAGGGCTGGAGGAAGATCATCAGGTCCCGCAGCTTTATTTAACTTCAACAGTTCGATTTCAAGTACGACTTCTGAGCGAGAGGGTGGATCCAAAGGGACAGCCCACGGAGCGGGGCGATCAGTCGCCGGCGAGAAATCTAACAATTCCGGCCGATTGAATTGCCTTTCAAATTGCTCAGCCCAACGCTCCATGCGTTTTGACAAGTTGTGGATAGGCTGTCTACTCGCCTCACAAATTGTTTCACTAACACCAGGTCTTCTGCTGCCCGATTACCGTATCAGAGTGAATGCCTGCCCAAATATCACTGACTTTCTCGCACTGAGCAATGAATGTATGAAGTGTTAAACCCACTGATATTACACCAGACCAGTGAATAAAATCATCCGGACTCCATTGTCCGATATCCAAGTATACGCGTGGATACTCTCTAAATCAAATGCGCAAAACACGCCCGGACGAGCAAAGAGATGGGCGGGTAAAGGAAGTGAAAGATTCCCAGTTTAAGAGCTGTGATATTAAGATATCACAGCTTTAGCAGAAATCACTCTGTCCGTTCAACTATCCAATCTGAAAAGGGTCGATTCCAATTCGTGCTGATGACGACAGAACGGATCTCGACGATAGTGTCACGGTAGAGAAGCACCCTAGCCTGATACCACGGATATTTATACACATACCGATACCAGTAGATACTCCTATCACAGCTATAGAGCACAGTAATTTAAGCCTTGAGGTTCAGGAAAACGTATAACCACCATAAAGTTCGGTTAGTCATCTCCAAATATTGACCACTCCATCCTCAATGCACAGATAGGCAACTCGCTTCAGATCCGGCACCACAAGCACGTACCAGTGTCCGCATGCTGTTCACAGATGAAGCAGTCACTCATATACGATAGATAGTGGTGAGATAGACTAGTATTTGACGACAGGACAGTCTAAAATTATGGTCATCGTGAAGTAAACACTGTAAGTTTGCAACGATTCTAGTAGCAACGTTTTTGAAGTCGTTTGATAACCCGTGTCTCGTGCTCCGATGACTGGATAGCAGAGAGGCATTCTTCTTATGAAGGAAAAAGATAAATGAGCGATAAGCTCTTCAGAACAGGTGAAACAGCTGGAGTTAAGCCACCGATGCATGTGTTGCCCGTTACGACATAGCCTGCTCGTGTTCTCTACTGACTTAACGTAGTGAGAAAGTACACACAGGCACTTATCGGAAGGTGTGGAATGTAACGGCTGGCTGTCAGGAGTGTAGGTACGGCCGTCACCAGCCTTCCACAGGCTCAGGAAAACCGAGTTGAATGAGTTGGCAAACAGACCGATTACTGCAGATTACACGGTCGCAGTCGTTGAGAATGCTAATCATTGTCCACATCTTCAGCTCCTCGGCAAACAGGGGCAGCTGAGGTAGATCGTTGGTGAAGATAAAGAAAAGAGTGAGTCCTAGCACCGTGCCTTCGGGTATGTCATTTGCGAGAGATAACAGTTGACCAGATGCTCGTCGATATATACTTTCATCTGACTCGAAACTTCAGGACACGCTTGTGCAGCGAACTAACAGCACCCCATAGTTTCAGCCCATGGAAGAGGACTTTTAGGTCCGCCTTATCAAACGATTTGGAGAAACAAGTGTAAATCATAGTGACAGACTACTCCTGATAGGTCGTATGCAACGAATCATCTTTATTCCTAAGCGGAGTAGCATGAGACAGTGACGTGAAGGGGTCCACTTCGTTGGTAACAATGGCGGTCACCTTGCCCAAATGCATGTCAAACACCTCGGCCGGTCGTTGTTCATTGCCTATCGGAATTCGCCACCGGGCAAACTCAACCACTTAACAATGAACGTTCTGACAGTGACCTGTTAAAAAGATCAGTCACGAGAGGAGAGATCATGGCCGACCACATCTTGCGAATCAGCAGATTAGGCGCCACAAACCAGCAGACTTAGTACCGTAAAAGTTGGCTAGCAACTGACATACAATGTCAACGTTGTAGTTTTCACACTATCGATACGATGGGGAGGAAGCAAGATGAACTCGAAGCGGACACAGCTGTTATATGGTCATCTAAGCTGGGGAGTCCACTCGGAACGCGAAGAGTCCGCCCGAGTTTGTCTAAGTGTCACTGCGGTTATCTGCCGTCTCCAGATGCAGACACTAACTGCGCTTTACCCAGTGACACTGATTAACA